GTCAGGACTATACTTTATCCTATACTTTATCCTCCGAAATTTTATCGAGATAAATTGTCAATTTGAATATCGATTTATTCAACCGATATTGCAGAAATCCTGAATATATTCCTGAAAATAAAAGCGGAGAAACTTGATATCTTTTTTTGCATAAAGCAATAAATTGCGAGAAGAAAAAAAATCAGAATTGGAAAATCTATGAAAAGATCGAACGAATTGTTTACCACATATTTTGTTAAATGTGTTTATCAATACGGCGAGATTAAATTATAATTTTTATAAGAAAGAGGAGAATAAAAAAGACTATTTTCTTATCTTGTTGGCTTGTATAATATTTATCTATATTAAATCATGACATTTATTTTACTTTAAGATAATTAGGAATTTTTCGATGTATGATTATGAAATATATATATTTTCAAATATTGTGTTTGATCGAGATCGACAAGGATCCTTACTAGTAATATAATTGTGATATGTGTTTCTTGTACTAATTCTAATAACTTATTCAAACAACCTTCGCGGGATGTCTTCTCCACAGAACTCATAAATTATTTGATCCTTTACTAGATTAATTTACATCCAGGTGCGAAGATGAATAAGTTTCTGGAAACGTCATCAACCTAGACTTACAATTAAGAAGAATATTCTAATATATTTTTTTTACTGTAACTATATTTTTTATATCTATAAACAAATGATGATTTTTATGTTTTATAATAAAATTTAATAAAATATAAAATTTAATAAAATAAAATTTAATAAAAAACTACACACGACATGTGTCTGTGTGCGTGCGTGCGCGTGTATGAAAGAGAAATGTAACAGCTTATTTGGCAATTTATCGGAGAAAAACTAAGAAAAATTTACATTTTACATTACTGATAAATGATAAAAATATAATACATAAAATTAGAAAAAAATTTATTGAGCGAATAATGAATGCTTAAACGTTTTAACTCACATCTTTTTATTTTATACTTTGTTTTATACATAAAACAATTTATTCACAATTACTCAGCATTTTTTACGTGCGTAATTTCCGAACACGAGGCGCGCTAATTATAATGTTATTCAGATCTCGGCCTTACTTTTAATAACGCTGCCTTTCATCTTTAGCGTTACGCAAAAATATCTTTACATTATGTGAAGACATTTTGCAGATGTTCGCGTTACGTTCAAATCAAAGCACTTTGCTGTCGCGCTGCAAAATGTAACGATTGTGTAATACGGACAATCGGGTTAATTAGGTTAATCTTTATGCGCTCAAAGAGCAAAATCCACAACTTCTCGTATGTGTTGCTATTTTTTTTCCGTCCACCACATTGTACTCGTTGCATGATCGGTTGCGAGCAAAGCTGATCGAGGTTGAACACAGTTTTAATTACTGTCCGTAGATTAACTATCGAGCATTAACTAGGTTGATTTTCTTTGTGGATATAAAGGGACGATGTCAAGGATACTTGTGTGCGAGAAGGTTTAATCATAACCGGTCGATCCATTTTTTCACTCCAGATCCGATCAACTCTGACACCGATTAAATTAATGTAAATAATAAAGTTAAAGTCGCAAAAGTCTAATGAATATTTAATCCTTTAAGCGTCTCGCTAGAAAATCGATGGCAAAGGCATTAATCAATTTACGATAACGAGCACATAATTTGAAAGTGGCGAAATAGTGAAACTGTCGATAGCACGGTCCACTTGGCAATTGATAGTTAGTGCGACCGATTATTAATGATGCTAATGACCGTGAAAGATCATGAATCTTCATGCGCTCAGACGAATTTTTTTCATTAAGTCTTTAGTGACGATTAATGTTCAATGTTGTATCGCGCCAGAAGGAGTATATATTTTCTCCTCAGACACTTAACATCACTTTCTATCTGCGAAAAGATGTATTCCGTGCATACTTCGAGAAAGTTTCCAACTACCGAAGGTTACGACCCGAACTTTCCACTTTAAACCTCGAAGGTTGCCATCGTAGTTCATCGATCATCGCGATGTTCGCGAACGATCATTGATCACTATCAATTTTATTTCCATTTATACATTTTTAACTATTTAAATTGTCATAAATTAATTCGCAATATGAAATAAAATCTCACGAGTTAATTAATAATAACAAAATTTTGCGATTTTTATGATTTGTCAAATATTGAAATCTCATGTTATGTACTTAATTGCATCAAGAAAATCGCATGTTTATGGAATATATGTCAACAGACTTTTAAAACGAAAGTGCTCCGGTTTCTCTAATATATTAGTAGAAATTTCATCGTGATAATGTTGCTGGTGGCTCGATACATTTTGACCGTTATAAAACATGAGTAAGGGATGAGTAAGGGACTAATACTGCGACGAGGTCCCAAGTGGCACCGAGAGCGGTGCTTGTGAAGTAAAACGTGTCTATCCGAGGGTTAAAAATCCATGAGAGATCCTCGTGCATAGGTCGTATAAAGGCTTGCCTCGCGCCATGTTACATGCATCAATTCCCAAAGTCAATTAATCTAATGGATCCGTCCGCTCGTTTCTCTGATCCGTCCTCGTACCGCCGGGTCTTTCTGCCTACCCCGCTGTCCAAACTTGTCCCGCGCCCACTCTCTCTCTCTCT